AGACGGAGCTGCTGTTGTTTCAGGAGAAGTAGGTCAGGGTTGGTGCTGCTGTATAATTAAACCTGTCACTGTTTTTATTCTTTATTCTGTTCATTGGTCGAGGATTAAGTCGCCACAAAACAAACTCTGGTTTTCAAGGACGTTTTTTCTATTGATCATTTTGTTCTTCAGAGCCACAAAATGTCCTCACAATGTTTCTTTGATTAATGCTCCTCTACACGCAGTGTCGGGAAAGTTACTTTTAAAATGTAATCACCTACAGATTACAGATTACACACACCAAAATGTAGTTTGTAATGTAATCCATTAAATTACTTAAAGTGAGTAATGTAATCTGAATACTTTGGATTATTTGATTTGCTGTAGAGAAACAAAGACCAGGATATCGTAAAATATAAGATGTTTTTTCTGCTAAAAGAAAATAAAAAAGTTCAGACTTTCCTGAACCAAATTAAAAATATTATTGATAGAAAACGAAGAAACACGTCCACACAGCAGGGTCCTGTTAAATCCTGGTTTAGTTCTGGTTTAGTTCTGGTTTAGACCTGGTTTAGTCCTGGTTTAGACCTGGTTTAGTCCTGTTTTAGTCCTGTTTTAGTCCTGGTTTAGACCTGGTTTAGTCCTGGTTTAGACCTGGTTTAGTCCTGTTTTAGTCCTGTTTTAGTCCTGGTTTAGACCTGGTTTAGTCCTGGTTTAGACCTGGTTTAGTCCTGTTTTAGTCCTGTTTTAGTCCTAGTTTAGTCCTGGTTTAGATCTAGTTTAGACTTGGTTTTAGACCTGGTTTAGTTTCCAGCAATAAATGGAATTACTGAAAGAAAAAAAGAAAAAGAAAAAGGGGATTTAGCCCAAAATGTGAAAACAGTAAAATCCCTCTGTGTTTAATCCATTTATTTCAACAAAGTAACTGTAATCCAATTACCACTCACTGAAACAGTAACTGTAACTGAATACAGTTACTCATCATTTGTACTCTGATTACTCCGGTACATGTAATCTGTTACTCCACAACACTGTTGACACGATCCCGGCAAAATAAACTAAATAAACTCAACTAAATTAAACTAAACTCCGTCTGGGTTAAAGCTTCTGTTCTGCCAAAAAAGGACATTAGAAAATAAAATCTGAATAATTACGAGACGTTCAAATAAGTAAAGACGTTTAACTGTCTCACAAGTTTAATTACAGATTAGTGTGATTAGTGTTATTAGTGTGATTAGTGTTATTAGTGTGACTCACTCACTCGGTTCATACAAACATGTGTTTAGACTAGAGCCCGACCGATATGGATTTTGTTGTGGCCGATATGAAACCGATATAATGGGAGTTGGAGCTGCCGATATATTTAGTGATGTAAAAATTCACTGTAAATGTTTAATTGATTAAAAAACTTAGGTTTGGCTCTAGTTGATTCTAAATTGGGTTTATTTAGGCAACATTTATTGTTATTCTGAGTCTTTACATCATATTTACAGACAGTAGTTTGGCCTAATGGTATTTTTGCATCACATTCTAGACACTAGTGATGGGGATTCCAGTTTTTTTTTTTTTTTTTTTTGAAAACCGGCTCTTTTGGCTCGGCTCACTAAAGCAGTTGGCTCTTTCGGCTCCCAAGCGACTCTTGAGATTGTTTTGTTGCAAGCAGGACTAAACCAGAACTGAACCAGGACTGAGTGTCTGGACTCGGTCTCTCCTTCACTCGAGCCAAATATGCACTTTTTTTTAATCCTATGCACACACAGATTTCTGAAAGTTTCGTTTTCAGCCGCTGCTGCTGTCAAACTACAGGTCGACATGCAGCATGAAGAGAAAAAGTGAGAGAAAGAGAAAACACGGCTCCCAATAAGAAACATGCTCCCGTCGTTCGCTTCAAAGAGCCGCTTCGATCGCGACCCATAACTCCTAGCTAGAAAAGAAACTATCGCTATTAGCCTTTAGCCGTAAATGCTGCGCACCGCGGTAATTAATTATATGCATAAATGTGGATCATTCACACGTCTATTCACAGCTCATTTACATATCAATGCAGGTCCAGAAACAAATATACGGCCAATACAGTCACTTTACAATAGACCAATAGAAAACAGCCTGTTTATGTGCGAGAGCTACAGCAGCTAACAGCTAACAAAACCTAAACTAGCTTCAAAGTCGATGTATTTCAACACTCACCGCTCACACAGGCTCCTCCCACATCACACAGGCTCCTCCCACATCACAAGTCTGAACTAATAAATGTCCTTTTAATCCAGACTCAAACCGATTGTCCGAAAAAAGAAAATAATCTCAGTGTTGCGCACGTCTGCAGGTGTAAACAGACACACGTGAGTGAAGTGACGTCACTCTGTGGTGTGTTCAGGGACAGTACGGACACACACACAGACAAATTACACCGTAGATAAACACTGATGTGGAGCCACATATTTGCACATTTATCTGTCTGTAAATTGGATTAAATGAACATAATGTAGAGAGTCTAAGCTTTATAACGAGGTGTAACATGCCCACGTGAAATATCGGCCCATATCAGCAAGTATATCGGCCGATAGCCGATATGTCTCCAGGTGCCGATATATCGGTCGGGCTCTAGTTTAGTGTCACGGTGAGGCTCCAGTCCAAACCAACACAAATGTGTTTAATGCAGCTTTAAGTTTTACAGAAAAAAAACAACAAAACAAAAACACATCTTCCTCCTTGTGGCGGATGCAGTTTTATTACAACTGTTGATTTGTTACTTGAATTTTGCATTTCAGGTTCAGCGGCGTTTTAAGATGTTCAAAAAGTCACTGATAAGAACATGACAATAAATGTTGCACTTTTAAGCATTTTATAATGTCACTCGTGTTATTATGTGGTTTTGGTCAAGTGTTAACGGAGGAAACAGCAGCAGATTTTGACATTCAAATGTCTCTTATTCAGAAACTAGAGGAACTATTGAAATAAGTAAAGTATCAGAATGTAGGAAAGAGTTACACTCCAACAGGGTCAAGTTAAACCTGTGAGATTCTTTCAAGTTCAAGACAAAAAATTTAAAAACTCATGTTGGTAACGGAGGGAATGAAATATGCAGCACTTTTTGGTCAATAAATCCAAACAGTGATAACTCTTGGTTCTCACTTCCATATCCTTAACAAACTGGTTTGAATATTTGCTTCATATAGTTTTCTACCATATGGTACAAGATTAGGTTGAAAAACCTCTGACTTTTTGACTCATGAGATTTTTTATTAAGAAAGTTCATGGTAACGGAGGGAAAAGTAACGGAGGGAAAATTGTACAAACAAGTAGAAGGTGCAGGATTTTACATCATTTGCGGCTTTTTTCTTCTGAAAACTTTAATATTACTTCAAAATGAAAGAAACTATTTCTATAAAATATGTCAGTCCTTCCAAGAACATTTTTATCATTTTAAATACTTTTTTTTTTTAAATCCTGTCCCTTCATCAACAGTTCAAAGATGGAATAACACAAGATATGATGAAATACAAACATTTATTTACATGATTTTCAGGTCTTTGAAATTTGGGAAATAATTTTTGTTCCATGTTTCATTCATGGTCTGTTTAAAACATATGGAACTTTAGAACCAAAAATGGAACAGAAAAAAGGTCAACAGTTTGATAAACTCGAGTACATATGTATCTGTTCAATACACTTTTATATCAGATGAATTAAATTGAATTTTTGATCTTGATGTTTACTTCTGCTGGATCAGGCCCTTGTATCATATCTTAACATCGGGAGCTTTCCCACGATATCACAATAAATATCACACTGTGAGGTTCACACTGTGACAATATCGTATCATGAGAATTGGATATCGTTACACCACGAATCCCCAGGAATCATGTACAATATCGTTAATCTGGAAGGATTAAACTGTGATAATTATGACAGAATGATGCACAGGGGTCAGAGGTCAGAGCTGCACACACATAAACTCTGTAGGAAGATTTAAATATGATGAGCACAGAGCAGTGTTTCCCAAACACTGGGTCACGACCATCAGGTGGGTCACTTTTTTAAATTCATAACTCAGGTTGAACGAAGGATCAGGATTTTGTTTTGTTGTCGCTCCACATACAAAATGTTCTCTGTAAACTCAGGATGATTTAGTCAGACAAATGTTTCCTTTTTGGTTCTTCCTGTGGATCAGTCCTGCCCATCACCTTCACCTTTCACTATTTTTCAATTCCGTTGGGAAGAGAAACAGTTTGAACGGAGGTTTGAGTCACACACATCTGATTCACTTTTGCATTTATGAAGTTCACAAACACATTTCTCGAGTTGTTTTCCGCTGTTTGGATCCAACAACCACACAAATAACGACGTCCGAATCCTAAAAACTAAAATATGACAATATCAGAACCAGAAACAAAAGTGAAATGGTTCAAAAGAAAAGATCGACATGGAGGTTTGTTCACTTTTTCAGAGGATCTTTCACAGTATGACTTGCACAACGACCGGAAGTCTGAAATTCTTGATGCGTCTATTTCTGCTTCAGTGTTTTTCATAGTTTCAAACGTGAGTAAAAGAGAGAGACGATCACTCAGTCAACTCTAAAATCTCCTCATTAATGTTGAATAACGCTCAAACCCACCTTTATTTTGTGATTTATGAATAACGTCTATGGACTCGGGTCGCGGAGGTTTGTGACTCTGGACTTTTTTCTCTGGACTGTGACGTCACGTGAAACCCACCGAGGTCACGCAGACGCACCGCGAAGCTTTGACTTTAACGCTTCACTTCTTGTTTGTTTAGACGACGGAGCTGACGAGCCGTGACTCCGGTGCCGCGCTCCCGTCTGCGCCTCCAGACGAGTCCGACCGGTTCTGACGCCGTCCGGGAAGCCTGAGCTCCGGCCTCTGGCTCAAAGTGCACAGTCGCCACAGAAGAATGAGGAGAATGCGAGGAGCCATGTGACGCGGCGAGGCGGAGGTTCGGCCCGGCACTGAGCTCCGCCCCCTTCCCGGAACCTGCTCCGATTTAGAGTCAGTGTGGAATAATTATGTTACAGGTTTGACGGATGGAGCCGCACTGACACGGACCGACGCCGCAGGTGAGTCGGATCATCATCTTTTCTGTTGCTTTTCTACTGATTTAACGCAGACGGAGCAGCGGCTTTTGGCTCTGGTCTAAAAAAACGCTCAGGTTCAACGTTTGTGATTTGGCTTTTTGTAGATTTCTCGTTAAAGTCCAGAGTGATTAACAGAACTGCATCATCACGGTCCAGAATCTGAACCAAGGCTTTATTTACAACCCTTCAAACTCTGAAATTATAGGATTTAGTCGATCTTTATGAGCTCAAAGATAATGTCACGTTTATCAAAAGCAAAACCAGAACAAATATTATTACATTTTATATGTTTATTAAAGCAATGGACGTCTAAGACTGTGCAAAACTCTTTTCCATTTTAAAAAGAAGTTTAAATGTTTAACTCTGGGCAGGTACATGAATTACGACGCTGAGTTTGTGCTGTAGAACTTTGCAGTTCTGTCACTGATTTGTTTGTTGATGATGTCGCTGATGCTCGGACAAAGAAATAAAGTTTAGGCATAAAAAGTCTGTGGAATAAAGTCAGAATAAACCCAAATAAATCAACAAATCAATCAAAAATCCACCGATAAAACTGTAATAATGTGTGTGACACTGACACTGAATGATTAAAGTGCAGATGTTTGAAGCTGGTTGATGCTTAATATCTGTAAATGTAATTACTGAAACTAGTCACAAACAAACAAAAAAAGCAGATTATCAGTGTCAAATACTGAAACACCACAGCATTTTTATACGACTGTGGCAAAAGGAGAAATTCAATCTTTTATTTTTACGTTTGTCCCGTTGACAAATTGAATTCTACCTGGACGTCTGAAGGATTTTACACAGTCTGACGCTGCTGTTGTGAAACTTTCTGTTCAAGCGTGATTAAATCAAACTATAATTAACTGGATAATGTGACTTAATAAGCAGAAAGTCTAAAAGTTTCCCCCTTTTCATATTTTCAGGTTCACTTTCTGTGTTGATCCGGAGCCATGGACAAAGCCACAGCCGGTGAGACTTTCAACTTTCAACAAACGCAAAGTTAAAAAAAAAACTAGAGCATCAGAAAATTAAATCTGAATAATTAAGCTCCATTAGCATAATAAAGACTTTTCACTGGCCTAGATACGGCGCTGAGTCATAAATCAGTTTGATTAGTGCGTTGACTCACTCCCTGAGTCGCACACGGAGGCTTCAGCCCAACATTTAATCACTTCTGTCACTGGACAAAAGTTTTAGAGTCAAAACGTTTCAGCTCCAGTCCAAATGTCTTAAAGTTAAAGAAAAAATCATCTGTTTAACTTTGTGTTATTTGTTGTTAATTTAAAGAGTTTGTTGCACTGAAGGTGTTTTCTTTATTTAGTATTTGGTAAAACTTTATAATAACTACACCTTATTTAGCCTTAATAAAGCATGAACAAAGATTTAATTAATAATGATTCAGGCTTAGTAACTACTTAATTACTCCCTTAATTAGAACTTAACTTGCATTTAATTCGCCTGTGCTGTAAATAGTTACACATAAGTATTTCTTACTTAATTACTCATAAACTAACAATTTGCAGATTCGTAAATGTATATTTAAGTACAAATTTGAGCATTTATTAATCATTTATTAATGATTAATAAGCTATGAGAGAATGATTTATTAATAACACAACACAATGATCATTCAGCAGCTGTTCTCTGTTAGTTAAATCTTTCTGAGAGTTTTTCTAAAGTGAAGACGTATTATGTTTTATTAAACATTTGTTAAGGTCAAATTCCAGAGAAACAATAATGCATCACTAGTAAATCATTCTCTCATGGTTTATTAATCATTAATAAATGATTAATAAATGCTCAAATTTGTACTTAAATATACATTTACAAATGCACACAAATGGTTAGTTTATGAGTAATTAAGTAAGAAAAACTTATGAGTAACTTTTTACAGCACAGCTGAATAAAGTTCAAGTTAAGTGCTAATTAAGGGAGTAATTAAGTAGTTACTAAGCATGAATCATTTATTAGCTTTATTAAGGCTAAATAAACTGTAGTTATTAAAAAGTATTTTTATTTAGAAACAGTGTCCAGTGTTTAAAGTCGAGGCTCCAAACCAAACCTCCGCTCTCGTTAAAGGAAGTTTAGTCAAAACTTTTTGGAGCGTTTGTGTTTCCGACGCTGAAATCCACAAAGATGATGACACGAACTCATATTTACTTCTGTTTGTGTGAAATGAGGCGAGTCTGACGTGTGCGTTCGCTGTTGGTATTAGAACCACAGGTGAGGAGGACGAGGACGAGGCGGTGCGACCGGTCAGACCAGTTTAACAACAGGAGATTATGATCATAACAGTAAAAGACTGTAAAGTAAAGACTCATGTATGATTATTAACACGCACAGAATATGTAAAGAATGTGTAGCTGTGAGGGACAAACGACAAACGACAAAAACACAACCGCAACTTAACAACTTAACAACTTAACAACTTAACAACTTACTGTAACCCCGCCTCTGCTCTGCTCATAAAACACGGGGAAATGGTCACATTTTCATACGGTGCTTTTCCACTTTCGAGGCTCAAAGCGCTTTACAACAAGGAACCACACACACACACACACACACACACACACACACACACACACACACCAGTGCACACAGACACACACACTCACACAGACAGTGGGGGTGAGGTGTTCATCTGTGGGAGCTGGAAATTTTTTTTTTTACTTCGGGCCTTAAGGTTCGTTCACACCAAAGCGTCAAATCGTCCAGTTTCTGTGTAAAGTCGATGTGGACGCGACTGGAGCCTCCTGCGTTTTTGCGGCGCGTCTTGAGGGTTTTGGCGTTGACGCGTCCAAGGCGTCAGCGTCAAGAAGTTGAAAATGCTGAACTTTTCGCGTCAAATGAGTCGTGTCGACCAATCAGTGACGAGTATCCAGAGACGCAGCGACGTTATTATCAGGAAGAAAAACCCAGACACCAGAACCCACAAACATGAACAGGAACATGAATACTAGAAACACCACAAACACCAGGAGACCGGGACTACACCAGGACTGGGACTAGACCAGGACCAGGACTAGACCGGGACTACAGGACTAGAGGACTAGACCAGGACTACACCAGGACTAGAGGGACTAAGACAAGGGACCAGGACTAGACCGGGACCAGGACTAGACCGGGACTACACCAGGACTAGACCGGGACTACACCAGGACTAGACCGGGACTACACCAGGACTAGGACTAGGGACTACACCAGGACTAGGACTAGACCGGGACTTAGACCACCAGGACTTAGACCGACCAGGACTAGACTAGACCGGGACTAGACCGGGACTAGACCGGGACTAGACCAGGACTAGACCGGGACTAGACCAGGACTGGTCCAGTGTCATTAGTGGAGTATAAATATAAACTGGCTCCAGTCGTCGAGTCGATTTCCTCCACTGATGTTTTATGTCATAAAAACACTCAAGTCTCTCAGTCTGGTCTGATATTGTTTCAGGAAAAGATCTGGACCGGAGCTCTTGTTTCCAGGGCAACAGACGCACGTCAAGTATTTTTCTCCCGTTCGTCCACAGCGTCAAAAACAGTGCTAACAAATATTAAAAAATATTCCAACACATATTGACTTTTTTCCCATAATCCTCGGGATCGTTTAAGAAGTCTTTTAATCTTTTAAGACACTGGGGGCGAGGTGCACGACAGCGTCCATCTGTGTGAGCTGGAATCACACCACCAACCCGCGGCTGACGCTCTAACAGTGTTTCTGTCCAGAGACTCGAACCGTTAACCTCTGGACCAGTGAGAAAAGCTCTTCAGGTCCGTTCAGACCAGAGCCTCAGAAAACACGCTGCAACCTCGAGTTGGAGCCTGTGCATTTGAGTTCAGACGCCCTCGACGCCGCGGACCAACGGGAGAAAAATACTTGACGTGCGTCTGGGGCGTCCGTTGCCGTGGAAACAAGTGACATTTCCTGGTATTTTCCCGGAACGATGGACCAGACTGAGAAACTTTAGTGTTTATTACATAAACACATCAGCAGAGGAGAGTTTATATTTATACTCCACTGATGAGACCGGATCAGTCCTGATCTAGTCCTGGTTTAGTCCTGATCCTGGTTTAGTCCTGGTTCAGTCCTGATCTAGTCCTGGTTTAGTCCTGGTTCAGTCTGGTTCAGTCCTGGTTCACCTGGTTTAGTCCTGGTTTAGTCCTGGTTTAGTCCTGGTTTAGTCCTGGTTTAGTCCTGGTTCAGTCTGGTTCAGTCCTGGTTCAGTTCTGGTTCAGTTCTGGTTAGTCCTGGTTTAGTCCTGGTTCAGTCCTGGTTCAGTTCTGTTTAGTCCTGGTTTAGTCCTGGTTTAGTCCTGGTTTCAGTCCTGGTTCAGTCCTGGTTCAGTTCTGGTTTAGTCCTGGTTTAGTCCTGGTTTAGTCCTGGTTTCAGTCCTGGTTTCCATCTGGATCAGTCCTGGTTTAGTTCTGGTTTCAGTCCTGGTTTAGTCCTGTTTCGTCCTGGTTTAGTCCTGGTTTAGTCCTGGTTTAGTCTGGTTTAGTTCTGGTTTAGTTCTGGTCCTTCAGTCCTGGTTTAGTTCTGGTTTAGTCCTGGTTTAGTTAGTCCTGTCTGTTTAGTCCTGGTTTAGTCTGGTTTAGTCCTGTTTAGTTTAGTCCTGGTTTAGTTCTGGTTAGTCCTGTTTAGTCTGGTTTCAGTCCTGGTTTGGTTTAGTCCTGGTTTAGTCCTGGTTTAGTCCTGGTTTAGTCCTGGTTCAGTCCTGGTTAGTCCTGGTTCAGTCCTGGTTTAGTTCTGGTTCAGTCCTGGTTTAGTCCTGTCCTGGTTTAGTTCCTGGTCCTGGTTCAGTCCTGGTTCAGTCCTGGTTCAGTTTAGTCCTGGTTTCAGTTCTGGTTTAGTCCTGGTTTAGTCCTGGTTTAGTTCTGGTTTTTTCAGTCCTGGTTTAGTCCTGTTAGTCCTGGGTTTAGTCCTGGTTTAGTCCTGGTTCAGTTTCAGTCTGGTTTAGTTCTGGTTTTAGTCCTGGTTTAGTCCTGGTTTAGTCCTGGTTTAGTCCTGGTTTTAGTCCTGGTTTAGTCCTGGTTTAGTCCTGGTTTAGTCCTGTTTAGTTAGTCCTGGTTTAGTCTGGTTTAGTCCTGGTTTTAGTCCTGGTTTAGTCCTGGTTTAGTCCTGGTTTAGTCCTGGTTTTAGTTCTGGTTTAGTCCTGGTTCAGTTCTGGTTTAGTCCTGGTTTAGTCCTGGTTTAGTCCTGGTTTAGTCCTGGTTTAGTTCTGGTGATCAGCTCAGCAGTTGTGGTGTGTTTATATTTCTAATCCAATAAAGACACGGTGTAGATTTGTTCTGGTATTTGTGGTTCTTGGGTCTTTCTCTTTCTTCTCCTTCCGAGTAATAATGTCGCTTCGTCTCTGGTTAGTCGTCCCTGATTGGTTGTCACGGCGCGTCAGACGATAAAGGTTCAGCTTTTTCAACTTCTGACGGCGACGCCCCGGATGCGTGTCCAGAGCGTCGACGCCTCAACGCTCAAGACGCCAGATTCTCGCTGCGCTGACGCCTGATTCATGCCCCAGAAACACATCCACATAGACTCTGTGTGTGAACTGGACGCTGTGACGCTCCGGCCTGAACGCAGCTTTACTCACTGAGCTACTGTTGCTTGAGGATGTTTATGTCCATTTTGAAAAAAACGGAAAAAAACTCATATCAGGAACCATTCACGTACCTCACAAAAAAAGTGATAGATACAGTCTTCAATAATTTCAACAAAAATGTATTTAAGTGAATATGTACCAAAGCTAATGACTTTATTTATGTACTATTCCTTAGTTTTATTGGCTTGTGGCTTTACTCTCTGCTCTTTCTGTTTTTCAGTCTCTGATTTCCGAATCGTGATGATCGGAAAGAACCAGGAGGAGAAGGCGAAACTGGGCACTTTCCTCACAGCGAAGTCCATCTTTCCTTACGACAAACTGTCCAGACAGAGCAGCGTGTTCAGCGGAGACTGGAGGAACTGTGCAGTGAAAGTTTACAACACCTCAGACCTGCTGAGGGCAGAAGAGTCCAGAGTGAGAGACGAGACACAGCGTCTGCTCCGTGTGACTGAACCTGGACCCAACGCCTTCCTGCTGCTCGTCGACCCTTCAGACTTCAACAGAACCGACCGCGACAAACTCAGGTCTGTGCTCAGGTGTTTTGGAGAAGACGCGCTGAAGTCTTCACTGATCATCGTGACCAAAAGTGAAGGTGGTTGGAATCCATCACTTCATAAAATGAACCAGGACTGCGGTCGCAGATGCAAGACTCTGGACTTTGCTGAACTTTCCGCGTCAGTTCTTACAGATCTGATGGAAAAAGTCGAGAACGTCATCGCTGATAACCAAGATCTGTATCAAGCCGGTCCTGCCGCATCTGAACCGATTTATCAAGAGTTGAACGTGGAGCCGCCCTTAAATATCGTGCTGTGTGGCAGATACAAAGATTACAAAGCTTCAGCAGCGAGAACCATTCTGAACACAAAGCCCAGCCCAGGGAATTTAACCAAGAGTATGGAATATGCTGGAAATGTTTGTGGCCGGAGCGTGACCATAGTAGAGCTGCCAGATCTGTCCAGTCTGAGGCCAGACGCAGCCAAACAGGAGTGTCTCCGCTGCTTCTCTCTGTGTGAACCAGAAGGAGTCCACGCCTTTGTGGTGGTCCAGCCTGTGGGTCCCCTCAGCCCTGAGGACCAACAGGAGCTGGACGCCATCAGGAGAGAGTTCACCTCCAAAATGAACGCCTTCAAAATGATCCTGTTCACCGTGGACTCAGAGTCTGGAGCTTCAGCTGTGTCCAACTACATCAAGAGCAGCAAAGACCTACAAGATCTGTGTAAGAGCTGCAGCCACCGCTACGCCATCCTCAACATCAACGACAAAAAACAGGCGTCCAGCATCATCAAGACGGTGGCGGACATCAGTCACAATGGATCCAAAAGCTTCACGAGAGAAATGACAATAAAACCACAAGTGAAAAGAAGAGAAACAATAATGCCTCCAAAGCCATCGCCCAGAATCGTTGAACCAAAGAAAAAATCGCTGACGAAAGATTCACTGCGCATCGTTCTGATCGGGAAAACGGGGTCGGGAAAAAGCGCCACCGCCAACACGATTCTGGGCAGAGATGAGTTTGAGTCTAAAATCTCCCAAACGTCCGTCACAAAGTTGTGCAGAAAAGCAGAGGGGCAGATCGAGGGCAGGTCCGTGACCATCGTGGACACTCCAGGACTGTTCGATACAACTTTATCCAACGCCGAGGTCCAAGAGGAGCTGGTCAAATGTGTCAGTCTGTTGGCGCCCGGGCCACACGTGTTTTTACTGGTCGTACAAATCGGGCGGTTCACTAAAGAGGAGCAAGATACTGTGAAAATAATCAAGGATTTTTTTGGGCCCAGAGCGGAAAGCTACATGATCGTTTTGTTTACGAGAGGAGACGATCTGGATAACATGAGCTTAGACGCGTATCTCAAAGAAGGCAACAACGCCCGAGCTCTGCTTCAGGAGTGTGGTAATCGCTGTCACGTTTTCAACAACAAAGACAGACAAAATCGAAAACAGGTTCAGGAGCTGTTGAGAAAAATTGAAGCGGTGGTGCAGCAAAACGGCGGAGGGTTTTACACGTCCGGGCTTTTTGAAGAAGCCGAAATGGCCATTGAGAAAGAGACGGTCAAACTTCTCAAGGAAAAGGAACCGGTGATGAAGAAGCAGGAGAAGGACATCCAGGAGAAACTTGAAATGAAAAAAAATAATATTTTGAAAATTAAAGCCAAAATCGAGCAAGAAATTAAGCAAACAGAGAAGCAGGTGAAAGAAAAGCAGGGAAGGTTACAGAAGGAAAAGGAGAATCGTCGAAGGTACGAACAACGAAGGAAAGAGGAGGACAGAATTAAAAAACACGAAGACGAAATGCAGAAGCAAAAGTGGAACAATCGATACATTCAGCTCCAGAAAGAAATCAGCACTTCAAACCAATCGAATCCAGACTCGAACAGAAGCAGTTTACTGTCACTGAAAGAGGAGTTCAAACGGGAGCAGGACACGTGGGAGCGGAAAAGACAGGAGTGGTGGGCCAGACGGATGGAGGAGGAGAAGAAACAGAGGGAGGAGGAGAACAGGAGGCTGACGCAGCTGGAGAAAGAGTACGCCGAAGCACGAAACACGTACGAGCGTAAAAAAAGCGAAGACGAGAGGAGACGCCAAGAGGAGGAGCGAGAGTTTAGGGCGATGCAAGAGAAACACCAGAGGCAACTGGACGAGATGCGACTGCGGAACGAAGAGGAGGCGCGGAGGCAAGCGGAGCAGATCAACGACTTCCACAGACGCTACGCCAAAGACCGAGAGGAGCTGAGGTCGCTGAGGGAGAGGAGGCGAAGCGAAGAGGAGTCTATCATCAAAGAGTTAACCAGGAGCAAAACGTGCAAAAAGGACTTCCAAACGCTGAAACTGAGGCAGAAGAAAGAGATGGAAAACCTGGAACAGTTACAGAAAGGATACGACGTGGAGGTCCGGGCCAAGGAAGTGGCCGAACTCCAGAGGAAGCACGAAGACGAGATTCACGACTGGATCCAAGCCCGAATCAAGACCATGTCAGGCTCTTCCTGCGCCATTTTATAACGACGAACTCACCTGGAAATCAACCGGTGCGGGACAAAGGTACAGGACTGGACAAACGTTTGGACACACCTCCTCGCTCAGTGTTGTTTTTATTTTTATGTTTATTACTTTCTGCATTTTAAATATGCATGAAAGACTCCAAATATATGAAGCAAAATATATGGGAAAAAAAAGTGAGCCACAAGAAAAATGATTTGGATAAAATACAATAACAAAGAGAAAAAATGGCAATGGAGAAATTCAATTTGTCAACTGGACAACATCTTCAGCTCAGATCTCATGTCCAGAACTGAAGAAGCAGCTGCGAAACGTATTCCACCAAATAAACTTTGTCCAGTTGACAAATTGAATTTCTTTTTTGTCATGGATTCTACCCGGACGACTGAGGGAATTTTCACAAAGAGAAAAAGTAGAAATGGTAATAATAAATTCAAAATAAGTAGTAAAGTCCTCGAGAGTCAAATAAGACATAATTTTATACCGTATTTTTTGGACTATAAGTCGCACCAGTCAAAAAAAGCATAATGAAGAAGAAAAAACATAAGTTGCACTTCTGGGGGAAATTATTTTATAAAATCAGAGAGCAGGAGCAGACATTTCCTGTCAAGTTCTAGTAAAAACAACAGAACAGAGAAAAACTGCCGTCGTCAGACTCAGACTCAGTTCAGTTAGAATCATTCGTGTCTTTCTGAATCTCGACAGGTGGTTTCAGTGTCACTAGTCCAGACTTTGTTCATCCGTCCACTGACTTCAGGAAAGTTTCATGCTGCGTCCTCCCAGTGTCACAAGTTTCTCTCTCACTCCAAACTTTCTTTCTGCTGCTCGATTATTGTTTTCAGCTGAATATTTCACTATTTGCAGCAGAACAGAGGCTCTTAGTGCAGGAGACATGCGCAGTAGAAGTGACACACGAGACTTGAACCTCTGCACACGTCACGAAAAACATTGAATGTAGAAGTCACAGGAAACACCCAAACCATGAAAAAAAGTGCCACTTATCGTCCGAAAAATACGGTAAATGTAAATGTACAAGTAAACAAAACACAAAAATACAACAACCCAAAAATATCTCAGTCATATATTGTCCCTGAAATGGTTTCCACTTCTCAGGGTCAAGAAATGCCAAAAGAGCAAAAGCAGTGACCAAAAAAATCTCAAATCTGCCTCAGGTTTGTGGTTCTGTTGAGTCTGTTCGTGTCATTCGTAGTTTTGATGCTTCAGTGAGAATCTAGAGTGAAAATAATCGTGGGAATAAACGAAGACGTGAGTCCAAACCTTTGATCGGTCGTGTCGTTTAATTAAAGCTGTGCAAAGAATCACATTTTTAATGATTAAGATTATTGTTATTATGAATGGACAGTGAACTCAGGTCTGTTTAATCTGTAAAACGTGTGATTTGGAGGAAGAAATGTGACGTGTGTTTTGTGTAATTTGTGTTGGACGTCGATGATCACGTTAAGAAAGTGAAGATCAAGAGGCATTTTTATTTGTTTTTTGTAAGAACAACTTATACTGAATGATTATGATCGATCAATATTATTAAAAAAAGTATTGATCCCTTATATTTTTAATCTAGTTTTGTATTTACTTTGTATTACAGTTTAAATATTTGGTCACGTGATCAGTGAAGTAAAGGAACAAAACTATAATATTCTGATTAGTGCAATAGAAAAATATATGAAGAAAACAGGATAAAAAAGTATTAAAGAAGGACTTTTTTTTTTTTTTTTTAGCTTTTTAAAAGTGTTTTATTAAATGTAGTTTCTTCATGAAAAACTACCTAAACTTCAGTTTTGTTCTTTCTGTGGTGTTGAGTTTCCAACTCCTGAAATGAACTTTTGTATTTTTGAAAAGACAAAAAAAATCTGACGTTTTATGTGAAGTGTTTCCAATAACACACCGCAGGACCTGGTTTAGACCTGGTTTAGTCCTGGTTTAGTCCTGGTTTACTCCTGGTTTAGACCTGGTTTAGACCTGGTTTAGTCCTGGTTTAGTCCTGGTTTAGTCCTGGTTTAGACCTGGTTTAGTCCTGGTTTAGTCCTGGTTTAGAGTCCTGGTTTAGACCTGGTTTTAGTCCTGGTTTAGTCCTGGTTTAGTCCTGGTTTAGTCCTGGTTTAGTCCTGGTTTAGTCCTGGTTTAGTCCTGGTTTAGTCCTGGTTTAGTCCTGGTTTACCTGGTCCTGGTTTTGGTTTCCTGGTTTAGTCCTGGTTTAGTCCTGGTTTAGACCTGGTTTAGTCCTGGTTTTAGTCCTGGTTTAGACCTGGTTTAGTCCTGGTTTAGTCCTGGTTTAGACCTGGTTTAGACCTGGTTTAGACCTGGTTTAGTCCTGGTTTAGTCCCTGGTTTAGTCCTGGTTTAGACCTGGTTTTCCTGGTTTAGTCCTGGTTTAGTCCTGGTTTAGACCTGGTTTAGTCCTGGTTTAGACCTGGTTTAGTCCTGGTTTAGACCTGGTTTTCTGGTTTAGTCCTGGTTTAGTCCTGGTTTAGTCCTGGTTTAGACCTGGTTTAGTCCTGGTTTAGACCTGGTTTACCTGTTTAGTCCTGGTTTAGTCCTGGTTTAGTCCTGGTTTAGACCTGGTTTAGTTTAGTCCTGGTTTTAGTCCTGGTTTAGTCCTGGTTTAGACCTGGTTTAGTCCTGGTTTAGTCCTGGTTTAGTAGACCTGGTTTAGACCTGGTTTAGACCTGGTTTACTGGTTTAGTCCTGGTTTAGTCCTGGTTTAGACCTGGGTCCTGGTTTAGTTTCCTGGTTAGTCCTGGTTTAGTCCTGGTTTAGTTTAGTCCTGGTTTAGACCTGGTTTAGTCCTGGTTTAGTCCTGGTTTAGTCCTGGTTTAGTTTTCCTGGTTTACCTGGTTTAGACCTGGTTTAGAGTCCTGGTTTAGTCCTGGTTTAGTCCTGGTTTAGTCCTGGTTTAGTCCTGGTTTAGACCTGGTTTAGTCCTGGTTTAGTCCTGGTTTAGACCTGGTTTAGACCTGGTTTAGTCCTGGTTTAGTCCTGGTTTAGTTCCTGGTTTAGACCTGGTTTAGTCCTGGTTTAGTCCTGGTTTAGTCCTGTTTAGTTTTAGACCTGGTTTAGTTTAGTCCTGGTTTAGTCCTGGTTTAGTCCTGGTTTAGTCCTGGTTTAGTCCTGGTTTAGTCCTGGTTTAGTCCTGGTTTAGTCCTGGTTTAGTCCTGGTTTAGTCCTGGTTTCTGGTTCAGTCCTGGTTTCAGTCCTGGTTTAGTCCTGGTTTAGTCCTGGTTTAGTCCTGGTTTAGTCCTGGTTTAGTCCTGGTTTAGTCCTGGTTTAGTCCTGGTTTAATGTAAATATCGTTCACACTTGTTCTTTTGTTTCTTTCCTTTTGTATTTTAAAGTTTTTAGTCAAACTTTGGCTTCAGATTGTGAGTTTTAATGAAGTGAATCTTGTGATATCTTTTTATCTTTTTTTTTTTTACTTTCTTTCTTTGTGTCGACAAAAGAAATGAAGAATCGATGCTGCACTTTATGTAAAGTTTGGATTAAATGTTGTTTATAATTTTGTCCAAAAAACAAATGTAATATTGAATTATTTAAACACTAAATATCTCAGACGTCATTTTAAGATCTAAAAGTGTAAACGTGATTTCTACATGACGGTTTTATACAATGAAGTGTAAATAATAAAATGTGGAAATGAAAACTTTTTGTCTTTTTATTTACTTTTTAGCAGTTCACCGCAAAAAACTCAAGTCCAGCCAAGTTCAGGTCACTGGAATTAACAAAGTTTGATCATGATTTGAGTCTGTTTCACTCAACAAGTAAAATTATATGACAACGAAACAAGACTTTTTGTTCTTAAAATATGAAAATACATCTTGCTGCATTTAAGAAAAACATAAACTTTTTTCACTTAAAATAAGAAACAAAATCAAATGTTGCTTGAATTAAGAAATTTGACTTGTCAAGTTGAATCGACTCAAATAAAGTCAAATGTTCTTAATTTAAGTCATTTTAATTTAATTGATTTTTACAGTGTTCACACTCTTTAAACCTTCATTTAAAGCTGCACTGTGTCACTTTTCCAGGGGAGGGTCTGTCTACATTTGTGTCTCCATGACGATGTGATTTCTTTGCCTGGAAGTGTAAATAATAAAACATTAAAGGGAATGAAAATGTGTCTTTTTATTTCCTTTTTAGGCTTTATGAGTAAAATATAAAGCTTATTCTAGTAAAGATTTCACTGGTTCACTTCATAAAAAGGAAAAAATATAAAAAAACACTGTGATATACATATATACATATGGGATCAGAGATATATAGATATATATATATATGGATATATATATCGATGGTATATATATAGAAGATGAGATATATATAGTAGAATATCACTGTACTAGCTATGAGACCTGGTGATGATATATATATATTTAGTATGAAACTTACTTTTAACTTGTTCATGAACCTGAAACATCATTATTCTGTTTTTCCTTTTAGTCTCTGCGTCTCAAACTCAGTCAAACATTTTATTATTGTCGTGTTTTTATAATATTTATGTTCAAAATCTTTCCAAGACGAGCCTCCTGTGCTTTTTTTTTTAACTTTACCTAAAACAAGAACCAAAGCACCGAAAACACTTTTATACAAACTGGAATAAGTCGCCTCAAGAAAAAACGCTGAAGCTCGATCATTTCACTTTTAAAAAACATGTCAAGAATCAACGCAAACGAAACTGAAGATCTGATGTTTGTGTGACGGACGTCGACTGAGGATCCTTCAATAAACAAAAAGAAACTAAATTCCACAGAAACATTCCCAAAATATCATGAAATACAGTTCAAATTTAAAGTCTCTGTACCTGATTTATTTCTGTCGTAAAAATGTGAAAAACAAAACGAGTTCTTCTTCGCGCCGTCTGTGTTCAGCACCACGAGTTTATCAGCAACAACGAGAAAAACACCCCGATATATCGATACTGAAGAGCACGACGCCGATACGATACGATACTGTGTCACCAAATTTACATACAAAAAAAATCCATCTCTTTTTAAAATTTGTATCACAAAAAATGAAATCTGAACATTTTAAACATTTTAAACTGAAATCACCAAAACTGGAGGAAAAAAAACAAAACACTATTTTATTTTATTTTTCCATCTTTGGTTCGACTGCAGAAAACAGTACAAACAACACACACACACACACACACACACACACACACACACACACACACACAGACACACACACACACACACACACACACACACACAGCAGGTGGGTGTTTGTACCTGTATTGTACGACCATCATGTTCTGTTCGCCGCAGTGTCGCGCACAGCGGATGTAGCGCATCCAGCTCGATTTACTCGGGTCGTTCCCGTCGACGAAGTGCTGCAGGGTCCCCTCTGCGTCATAGATCTGAAAACACACACACACACACCAGAGAAAACACGGTGAAAACGACAAATATCATTCAGAAAATACAGAAGAACAGTGTTAAAACGACACACATATAACAGCGAAAAGTGTCTGAAAAAGTTTATTTTGACATGACAAGTATATTTTCACATAATAAACTAATATTTAAAGAGGGAAAGTGCCAACACGCTTAAGTTTGATCCAATTTTGAAGAGTTTTACTCTTTTTATGAAAAAAAAAAAAAAAAAATTGTATCAGAGTTGAAAGTTAATGCTGTGTTTTGGCAAACTGTGAAATTCAAAACATTTTTAATGTTCTACTGTTTATTTGTAGATCTCAGTTTGTGTTTCATTTTCAATAATAAAAGTTATTTTAAATGTAATAAATTGAAATAGTCTGTTTCACCGATTGACATTTGTAAGACGTCCCGAGCTTTAAATGCAGAAAAATTTTTGTTTTTAATCAAAGTTTTTTTCAAGTGGTATTTACAAAATGATCAAAAATACACTTAAATATACCAGGTCATTTTGTATGACATTATATTTTAATTTTTTAAGCTTTTGAAAACTGCAAAACGTCACTGACCCAAATATAAAGTGATCCAAGGAAATAGAGAAGAATAAAAGTGTAAAATCTACAGGAAACGTGAGGAACTGCACATGAAGTAAATGATGCTTTTCAATAAAACAGCTTAAAAAGATGATCAGAGCAGCAGCCGAGTCAGATCTATGACTCCGGCCGCTTCCACATCACTCACTCATCAACGTCCAAATAAATGATAAAATATGTTTAGTTTCATTATTTGTGTCTGTGGTCGGGCAGTTTTATTATTATTTTATTTTCTGTTCTTACTCCTGCATGAATTAATCCTGTAGAAAGACCAGACCACAGAAGACGTGTCCCACAGCTCCAGTCAAATGAAGCTCATGAGGTCAGCAGTTACAGGGGTGAATCTGAAGCCAGTTTCATATAATTCTGTGCAATTAAACCAATTTTGATTGTGATTTTGATTTGTGTGTCAAACAATCTCCAGATCTCATATAATCAAAGTCCTGGAAGTCCTGGTTTAGGACTGGTTTCACTGGAGTCCTGGTTTAGTCCTGGTTCAGTCCTGGTTTCCAGTCCAGTCCTGGTGGTTCAGTCCTGGTTCAGTCCTGGTTTAAGTCCTGGTTCAGTCCTGGTTCAGTCCTGGTTCAGTCCTGGTTTCTGGTTTAGTCCTGGTTCAGTCCTGGTTCTGGTTTAGTCCTGGTTTAGTCCTGGTTTAGTCCTGGTTCAGTCCTGGTTTTCAGTCCTGGTTCAGTCCTGGTTTAGTCCTGGTTTAGTCCTGGTTTCAGTCCTGGTTTAGTCCTGGTTTCAGTCCTGGTTTAGTCCTGGTTTAGTCCTGGTTCAGTCCTGGTTTAGTCCTGGTTCAGTTTAGTCCTGGTTCAGTCCTGGTTTAGTCCTGGTTTCAGTCCTGGTTTAGTCCTGGTTTAGTCCTGGTTCAGTCCTGGTTCAGTCCTGGTTTAGTCCTGGTTTAGTCCTGGTTTAGTCCTGGTTTAGTCCTGGTTTAATTCTGATTCAGTCTGTTTTTCCATTTTTCTTTTAAACACAAAATCAAAAACTGAAAAAACAAACTTCTGTTTTCAGTTTTTTCATTTTGGTTTTGGAGACGAATTATAAAGAAAATTGTGTTTTCATTTTCTTATTTTTGGTTTCATTTTGAAAAACAAATGAACAAATGACACGGATTTTAAATAATTGTGATAATGTTTTTTTTCCGTAATCGAGCAGCTCTCGTTCTATATGAGGAAGAGGAATTGATTAACGCACAAAATAGTGAAATAAAACCGCTGGATCATGTCGAGCGACTGGATACGAACACGAGGAGCCTGAACACAAACTGAACTGGAGCCAGAGTCCGTGGAGCCAGAACTGTGCCCGTGCTCATTTTCTGTTTGGAATAGGGATGGTCATGATTAATCGATTAATCCATAATTGATCATTAAGAATTTGATGGATTCCGTTGATTTTACTGGACAAACTGAATGTATGTGTGTGTATCGTGACCAAACAGGTGTGTACATGTGTCTCTGCATCAGAAGGAGCGACACACAAACAGTGGGTCAGTCTGTAACGAACCGAAGCACAAATGTGGATTTAACCAGGATTTGTAGAAGAAATTCCACACTTTCCGTTGCGTTGGGACAAGTGTGAGTCCATGTGCACAGTGGATAAAGCAGCACATATGTTTCTGTGTCCAGTGGGAAAAAGTTTTTCCAGGTGAGAGTCGCTCAATGTGGATGACGAGGCCCCGCCCCCCTCCCCCCGTACGCTGTCCTGGTTTTGACAAACACAAATCTGGTCACACTGACCTGTATTCACCTGAGTCATGTCTTTTAATCCAACACAAGTTGAACCACATCAGCGACACAAGAGCTGGAGTTTTATCTTCACTTAGTTTATGTAAATTAGTGATGTGGTTTTAAGTTTTGTTTCTGTGAGATTTGAACAAAACTGAATTAAACACATTATAATGTCAAACAGCTGATGTGGATCTAGAGTCGTTATGTTTATATGTCGTAAAGTTGAATTTATTGATGCAGATTAGTGCAGATAGTAATAATAATGATGATCATTTTAATAGAAAAACCTTAATGATTCTTCGATAATTGATCGTTAACTCTTCCGACGATCGATGAAGAAAATGTCATCAAATGCCCGTCCCTAGTTTGGAACTCGACAGTTTTGCGTTTCTCTGAACTCACAAACGTCGAGTGTGGATCTCACAGAACACGACGCTCACGAACCCCTTAAACTGTGTGAGATTTACATTTCTCCAAAACAAAGTCGGAGCTGAAGAGGCCGGAATAACAGTCCGTTTTTGTAACTCATCAATAAAAGCGGTGATACTTGAGCAGCCGTCTGAGTGTCTTTTCGGTTCTGTTTACATTGGACAGTGTAATTTTAGCAGCGCAAAGTAAAAGTGGTTTGGAGGGTTTAATCCTGTGACAAACAGACGTGAGGAGCTCATTCAAACAACACCAGAGCAAAGTGCTGTAATGAATGAGTCTGAGTGGAGCCGGGGCCGGAGGGCGGGGCCGGGAGAAAGGGGGCGGGGCCGGGAGAAAGGGGGCGGGGCCGGAGAAAGGGGGCGGGGCCGCGGCGACTCCGGAGACGGAACGCGGGTGTGAAACTTTACACAGAGCAGATTTAAAGCTCTTTAAAAGCGTCGTCAGTGGAAAAACAGTGGGTGAAGGAGCGAAGGTCTGAACCCAACGTAAACGCAGCCGCTCGGACGTTTAAACACAGATAAAAACCAAAGGACCTGACGAGACCCACAAGATCTACACCAGCACAACTCCACCACACAAGATCTACACCAACACAACTCCACCACACAAGATCTACACCTGCACAACTCCAACCACACACAAGACACACCAACACAACTCCACCTCCACACACAAGATCTACACCGCACAACTCCACCACACAAGATCTACACCTGCACAACTCCACCACACACAAGATCTACACCAACACAACTCCACCACACAAGATCTACACCAACACAACTCCACCACACAAGATCTACACCAACACAACTCCACCACACAAGATCTACACCAACACAACTCACCACACACAAGATCAACGCAAATGTACAAGATCAAAGACGTTTCAACTCATTTTGACTGAGTTAAAAACATGAAAAACAGAACCAGTCCAGAGCTCTTCAACTAAACCAGGACTAAACCAGGACTAAACCAGGACTAAACAAGAACTAAACCAGGACTAAACAAGAACTAAATCAGAACTTAACCAGGACTAAAATAGGACTAAAACCAGAATTAAAACCAGGATGAAACCAGGTCTAAACCAGGACTAAAACAAGATTTAATCTGGCCTAAACCAGGACTAAAAGAGGACTAAACCCTGGATTAAAACTGGGACTAAAACCAGGACTAAAACCAGGACTAAACCAGGACTAAACCTGATCTAAAACATTATTTAATCAGGACTAAAACTAGGACTAAAACAGAACTTAACCAGGACTAAACCAGGTCTAAACTAGGATTAAAACTGAAAAAAAAAAATAGGACTAAAACAGGACTAAATCAGGACTAAAACATGATTTAATCAGGACTAAAACCAGTACTAAAACAGGACTAAACCTGAACTTAAAACCAGGATGAAACCAGGTCTAAACCAGGACTAAAACAGGACAACTAAAACAGGACTAAAACAGAAGTAAACTAGGACTAAACCAGGGCTAAAAGAGGACTAAACCCAGGATTAAACACCGGGACTAAACCAGAACTAAAACCAGATCTAAACCACAACTAACCCAAAAAAAATGGTCCGAGATGGTTGTTCAAATTGCAAACACAAATCTGACAACAATAAAATGACTTTTTTACGATTCTCTGTGTAAATGTTACAAAGCGTCGCTTGATTGTGTCTGAAAACTTCATCTTAAATTTAAATTGAATCTGTGACCGTGGAGACGAGCAGGAGACAGATTACACATGTTACAGGTCAGATCTATGGAGGGGCGCCTGCTCACAAGACTCCATGTGTACATGTACAGAGGCGAGCAGGTGGTGGACAACACATCAGAAAAGTTACACAGTGCAGCTTTAAAGTCCCTCTGTTACACAAACTGTCCTCTGGTGAGTTTTAAACCCTGATCTAAAACTGTGACCTTCTCAGAAACAAAACGGACCTGAAGCTGATGTTCTGGTCGTGTTTGTTTGACTCTTTATTCTGAGTCTGTTTACATCTGCAAAACTCTAAACGCTCTGTTCCACCTTGTGATGTCATGAACAGGCAATTCTAGGGAAGCTGAGCCTAAACACCAGAGCTGGGACCAAGTCGTTGTTTTGCAAGGTTCAAGTCTCAAGTCTTTGACCTCAAGTCCGAGTCAAGTCCCACGTCAAATACAGGCAAGTCCAAGTCGAGTCTCGAGTCACTGGCCCCTAAATCCAAGTCGAGTCCAAGTCTTCTGCTTTGGGCTTCAA